TTTCTACTATTACTGTGGACAAATAGATAGTCATCTATTTGTCTTTTCAATTCTGTTGAAATCTGATTTACAGACTTTAAATAAATATCCAAAGGTGTATAGACATTTATTATGGTTATGTCCTCTTGTTCATTTGATCCTTTAATCATTACATAATGTCCTTCCTTGTATCTCATGGTTATTTTTGTCTTAAAGTCTATAATGTCAGAAATTAATATTTCTACTCCTGCCCTCTATTGGTTGCTGTTTGCTTCATATATCTTTTCCCAAACTTTGATTTTAATATATTTTTGTCTTTGCATCTAAGTTGAGTCTCCGTATTTAAGTAGGCAACATATTGATGGATCATGTTTTCTTATCCAGTCTGCAACTCTCCGTCCCTTGAGTGGTACATTTTATCTGTTAACACTAAGAGCAATTATCAACAAGTATGAATTTATTGATGTCATTTTGATATGTGTTTTTTCGTAGTTTTTCAAGAAGCATAGTGATTTCTTTGTTCCATATAATTTTCTGTGCTGGGCTAATTTTTTTATGATTTGTGTTATCATCTCCTTTGTTGCTATTGTTGTAGTATTTGCTAAATATTTGTGCTTGTCCTTTTTTTTATTTTGGTATGAAATTTTTAATTTTCATTTTGATACTATTATTTGTCTTTGATGTTGCCTTGTGATTATTTTCTTCCCATGTTTAAAACAGTCTATTCTATCTTGCAATTATCTTGACTTCCTCACCATTTAGAAGTTCTGTAACTACATTATATTTTCCGTCTTTCTGGTTTGTAGTCCTCATTTGCCAATTGATGTCTCTGGTTTCTTGTTTATAATCTTGAAGCTTATTTTTCTTTAGATACTTCTATAACGGGTTGGTTTGTGGGTTATGTCATCATGTGTGTTAATGATCAGTTGTTGTTTGGTGTTGTTAGGTCTATATCAAGAGGACTCCCTTTAACATCTCTTGTAAGATTGATTGATCTAGTTCTAACAAATTCCTTTAATTTCTGCATCTGGAAATCTCCTAATTTCATCCTCATATTCAAGGCACAGTTTTTCTGGTTACATAATTCTTGGTTGGAGATTTTTTTCTTTCAGGGCTTTATATATATCACCATACTGCCTTCTTGGCTGCATGATTTCTGCCAAGAAATCAGAGCTTAGTGTTATTGGTTTCCCTTTACAGGTAACTTTTCATTTTTTCCATGCTGCTTTCAGGATTCTTTCTTTGTTTTTGGTTTTGGTGAGTTTGATTATGATATGTCTTGGTGATTTTCTTTTGGGGTCTATCCTGTTTGGGTTTCATTGAACTTCTTGAAGGGATATATTCTTGGCTTTCATAATATTAGAAAATTATCTTCCAATAAATATTTGACAATTTCTTTGTGGTTTTGTTTGTCCCTTCCTGTTCTGGAATTCTGATTACACATAGATTATTTCTCCTGATGGTATAGCACATGAATCTTAGGATTTCTAAATTTTGCTTTTATCTTTTGTCTGATTAATTCCTTAACAAAGTAATATTGGGGTATTTGTCTTCAATCTCATTAATTCTGTCTTCTATTGATTCAATTTTATTCCTTTGCCTCTTCAATGAGATATCTATTTCTGAAATTCTAATATTAATACTAATATTAATCTGTATTTCTCTTTGTTATTTTTGTATGTTTCTAATTTTTTGTTTATTTTGTTGATTTGTTCTTGTACTGTTTTCCTACATTGTTCTAGAGTTTTATTTGTGTTTTCCTTGATATTGTCAGTATTTTCCTTGATCTGTCTCTCAATCTGTTGAAGGCACCCAAATATAATTCTTTTGAATTCTTATCAAGGAGTTCCAATGCTGCTTCTTCTTCAGGGATGTTTTCTGGGTTTGTGCCCTGGTCCTTCATTTGTATACTTTATATTGCTTCTTTGTGTGGACTGTGATTGTCTGTTGTCTCTGAGACATTGTGGTGTTGGTGTATTTATGTTTAATGTATGAAAAAGAATGAGAGTATGTACACAGATCTCTGTTACCTGTTTGTAAAGAGCAGTTAAGGGTGAGTTGAGCTGATATTGACTGTTGTCTACCGTTGGTCAGTTGGTGTAAAAGCAACTGGTGGCCTTCAGTCAGTGAATGGGGCTGCAATAGGTGGTATTATGGTTGGGGTATGTTGGAAAAATTGCTGTCTTCCACTTAGTTACACACACACACACACACACAAATAATAAAAATACCCAACAAAATAAAGAGAACAAAAAACTCAAACTGCATAAACAAACAGGAATAATTGCAAAAAAGAAAGACAAAGAAACACAATAAATGGGAAGAAACATTTTCAAAATATATTTACAAAGCCTAAATGAAAGATAATGGGAAACAGAAAAATAAATAAAAAGCCACAATATCTTGGGAAGAAGGAATGAGACAAAAGAGCAAAAGTAAAATAATAGTGAAAAATGGGAAAACTGCAAAAGGAAAACCATGGATTGGGAGAACCACACACATACACACACACACACACACACACACACAAAGGAACCAGGGAAATGCAAGAGAAAAAAACAAAACAAAAACAAACAACAACAACAACAACAAAAACAAGAACCAGGGGCTGGTAAGAAAAAAAAGGAAGAAAGGAGCATGATAAAAAGAATAATTTTTAAAAAATTGGAAAACAAAACAAACTCTGGCAAGCAGGGCATGACACTCAGGCTCTGTCAGGGCACAGACCAGGTTGAATTTCTTGCTGGTCAAGAAGGTAGGTGGACATGGGTATGGCCACACTTCTGTTCACCAAAATGTGTTTGTTATAGAAGTAACAAGGGGAATATTGCACCTTTCCAGTTGTCAGCCTCAAGTGTGCTGCCCATGGTGTACTAAGCAAGTGAAGCCCACTACTATGTTGCCATGTAGGTTAGAACACCACTTGCATATATTCAAAATTGTCACTTCTACTGCTTGCAAATATTCAAAATGGCAGCACCTTCAGGACAGCCACTGGCAGTTCACAGATCTGTTTGTCTCCTTCTTCACTGTTTTCCTTTCTGATTGTCAGGCACCAATGCAGTCCTTGCCCATGCAGCCTTAGGGAGCAGAGCTGATTCTTGCTACCAGGATATATTAAAAATGGCTGTGTCCTCAGGATAGCCAGTAAACCTCAGCTCCATTTATCTTCTCAGTGTTTTCATGCAGGTTGATATTAAATCCTGTTCTTTCCCCTTTTCTTCAAAGGTTAGGGTTCTAGAGTCCTCTTATGTATTGGTTTCAATTGGTTTCTTATTGCTTTGTTGCAGAGGGTCTGTGTAGCTTGTCTGCTTATTCCACTACTTTGCTGGAACTCCTCTGTTTCATTTTTTTTTTTTAAATATGGTTGCTATGATTTGGAACCAACTTGATGGCACATAACAACAACAACATGAATTATTCTGTCTTTTTATTTATTTATTTATTTAAATTGAGTACTAGATATTAGAGGAGCTCTGGTAGCATAGTGCCTAAGACACTTCACTGCTAACCAGAAGGCTGATGGTTCAAACCCATCAGTCACTCCTCGGAAGGAAGATGGGGCAATCTATTTCAGTAGTGATACTGCCTTGGAAACCCAAGGAGGAGTCGCTATGAGTCGGGTCCGACTTGATGGCAAACAACAACAACAACAACACTAGATATTATACAGAATCTGCTCAATAATCTGTATCCTGTAATCTTGCTCTAATGTGCAGATTCTTCCTTAAGCAGGCAGTCAATTCCCAGTTTGAAACTGTATTGGCTTAGTTTATGTTTTTTTAGTGCTAATATATATAAGGCTCAAGATTTTTTCTAAGGCCCTCTAGCTTTGTGGCCTTAATCTACAAACAGTGTCTCCCTGCAGATCTTGTAGCAGCTTGGTTTGAGGCTTTGTTAGGGCAGATCTATAAAGATCTTACTCAAGGTCATTCACTCTTCATACTCTTTTTGTCACTGCATGATGTTAGGAATTGTAACAAGTTCTTAAGGACAGCTCTCCACTCTGACAGATCAGGGTTCAAACTTCTCAGCATTGCTCTTCCTCTGGCACTGCTCAAGTTCTACTATCTTTTTCCTTTTTCCAGTGCCCTAGCTGCTGCCATCTTGTATGCCTTGAGAGTAGTCTTGCCTTGCTCATGGACAGCTCACTCATCTCTCAGTCACACACTTGTGGAATCCTTCACCTGGACTTCTGAGGCTATGTCTCTCATGGTGACTTCTTTAATGCCTCACCATACCAACTCCAACAGCTTCTATGATCTATGATCATAAACTATGATCTCTAACTCTTCAGTTCAACAAGAAAGCTGTTTTTCTCAGACTCTAGTTGGTAAATATTCCCCTGACAAAATCACGAATTCCACTTGTCTCTGGGATTGTGGTCTCAGACTGCTTTTTACCTATTGTCTAGAAAAAATTACTTCATAACTTTTCCCAGTACTAAAGTTATGTGTACTGGAAAGATAAGTCTGGTACCAGTTATACCATTGTGACTGGAAGGGTAACTAATTGATTCTTAATTAAGACACCAATAAGAAAGAGGATTGACTTTGGATTAAAACAGAAAAATGAGTTGTAGTTTCTAATCTGTGTGTTTTATATTTGTTTCTTAGACAAACTAATTAGTTTCCTTACTTGTAAATTGGGAATAATGCCTACCCAGTAAGCTCTGTAGAAATTAATTATCTTATTAACTACCATCAGAAATTAGTAAGATAATATTAAGTGCATAGTAGGCATTCAATAAATATCAGCTAGTATTACCATATTGCTACTACTTAATTTCTTACTAAGAATGCTTATGTATTTTGTAGTTTTACAAATTATTAAAACTTGACTCTCATTTTACATCAGGATGACAATCTATAGAACTCAGTATTCTGCAAATTAGCCTTGTGTTTATGACCTTAGTTATTGCAGAAAAGTATATTTCTGTTTTAGGAAACATTTCTGAGAACTTAAAGAATTCTTTATAGAAGAGTAGATAACAGCTCAATAGTACAAAAAGAAAATGAATTTTAAGGTGGTGAATTGCAACATGGAGCACTACCTAAAAGTATAGAAAATGGGAGAGACAAAAACTTTTAAGCTTTGCTAGTGGTTGTCAGTTTTTAATTATCTATGCTTTGTTGTTGTTGTTGTTGTTGTTTGCCATCGAGTCGGCCCCGACTCATAGCAGAGGTAGAGAATTGAAGGAAGTGGAAAGATAGTGACAACATAATTTATTTTCAATATTGGAATGTGTTGTTTATCTTTGGAGAAGATTTACCAACTTAATATTTGGCTTGCATTAACACTAAAATTTTTTTTTTCCTCTTGAGAGCAACTGTTAATTATTAGCAAGGGAACTCTGCATTGCCAAATACTATGCTAGTTGTGAGGAAAGCAAATCTAAAATTTAATATTTAAAATGATCCACATGTAGACAATTGTGAAAATTGATTATAGTGAGAATATTCTACCTTATTAAAAATATGACTCCTTAATAATTCAATTCCCTATATAATAGTTCATATTAAAAAAAAAACTGGAGCAAAATTACCCTATTTGCAGCTGACAAAGAAAACAAATCAAAGAAAATAGCTACCCTTTATTGAGGATCTATTATGGGTCAGGAAATGTGATAATTATTTTGTATATTAATTCACACAATCACCCCCATAAATACAAATAATTATTCTGCTTTGCAGATAAGGAACTTGAGTACTAGAGATTAAGATACTCTCTAGGTCAGACAACTTGGAGTGGAATATAGATTTGAACTGAACAATTCCCACAGCCTTTGTATTTTGTTCTACATCACTCTATCACTTTTTAATCAGCTAACTAACGAACTAACTAACCAACTGCTTTTGAGTTGATTCTGACTCACAGCAACCCCCGTTGGGTTCTAAGACTATAAAGCTTTATGAAAGCAGACTGCTTCATCTTTCTTCCATGGCGCAGCTGGGGGGTTCAAACCACTAACTTTTTGGTTAGCAGCCAAATGCTTTAACCACAACACCACCACAGATCACTTTTGAATGGCAGGTAAATTTTACTTACTATAGACATTTTCTTCTTCTGGTCTCTTCCCAATAATGCAATCACGTAACTGACGTAACTTTTCCTTAATGAAGAGAAGGCCAGAAAACAGAATCAAGATTTAGAAATTGTCATAAACAAGATGAAAATATCAACTACTACTACCATATTATTATTTAGTATTTATTTAGCACTTACGATGCCCCAATCACCATTCTTGATATTTTACATATGTTATCTAACTCAGTTCTCACAACATCATGGAGTGTCTTCATCCCCATTTTACAGACATGAAAACTGAAGCTCAGAGGGATTAAATAATTTATCTAAATCATGTTGTTGTTATGTGCCGTCGAGTCGGACCTGACTCATAGCGACCCCTCCTTGGGTTGCCAAGGCAGTATCACTACGGAAGTAGATTGCCCAACCTTCCTTCCGAGGAGTGTCTAGTGGGTTTGAACTGCCAGCTCTCTGGTTAGCAGTCAAGTGCCTTAGGACTATGCTACCAGAGCTCCTATCTAAAAGCTCCTATCTAAATCTAAATCATACACAGATATATATGTGGTTGAGTTCCTATGCATAGGAATCCAGAGCCTAAATCTTTTGGGAACTGTTTTCTCAATCTATTTCTTGCCCCAAAACAGGAGAGCTATACAATGAAGATTTGTTGTTGTCTTAGCTTATCTCTTGTCACTGCATGACACCTTACTTCTTAGTGTTCTAATTTTAAGAACTAGGAACAGAGGAGCAAATGTTATATAATGCTATTCACTTACCTAGCTCATTTGCAATTTTTATGTGTTTTCCAATATTCCACATTGAACACATATTATCTTTTTAAATAAAGAGTAAATCAAAGTAACATTCAATAAATCTCATTTTAGAAGGAAACCTAGGAGTGGTACTATTTCCCCATAGTTTCATTTGAATCCTAGAAACGATTTTTCCTAAACATATAATTCTTTTAGTTCTCTTAAAGACATTCTCTTATGAAAGGAACACATAACCTTTGTTATGGATTGAATTCTATTTCACCAATATATGTGTTGAATTCCTGGTCCTTAAACTTGTGGATGTGTTGCTGGCTGGAAGTAGTGTTTTTCTTTTGTTGTGTTAATGAGTCATAACCTAAGTCTAATAATTCTGAGTTACAAAAAGACCAGATTCCATGCAGAGACCTACATAGGAGGAAGAGGAAGACAGCCAATCAAGACATGCATATATGGCTTGGGAATGCCAAAGATTGCTTGTAGGTACTTGTTTTGGTTACCTAGTGCTGCCGTGACAGGAATATACCACAAATGGGATGGCCTTAACAATCAGGAGTTTATTCTTACAATTTGGAGGCTTTAAGTCCAAGTTCAAAGTGCCAGGCTCTAGGGGCTGGGTGAAAGCCCTTCAACCTTGGGATCCAGCTCCGCCTCCTGCTCCCAGCCCATGGGAACTAGAGGCCTTTCTTCACTCAGACAGCTGCTGGCTGCTGAGACTGAGAAGCCCCAAGGTTGACAAGTAAAAAGGCAGTCCCGATATTACCGAACTACATGGCAGGTCATTAATTCAAGTCCATTGTAAGTCCCAAGGTCGGCAGAGCATGGCAGGCTGCTGAGCAATGACATGGTTATATGCAGGGTTCAAGTCTGCCATAAGCTAGAGACCATTCTCCAAGGCTTCTGCTTATATACAGGAAGCAGACCACATTCCCTAAGGCAGCTAGCTACTCAGCTGCTTGTGGTAGATCCCACCATGGAGTTGATTGTCAGTCTCATCATGGGGAATAACTACCACCAGCTGCCCAGCCACTGAACCAGGCCCAGCCAAGTTGACACACAAACATAACTACCACAGTACTTGAGGCTGAAATAGACAAGGAAAGTCCTCTCTTGAGCTACCTCTGAATTCAGATTTCTAACCTCTTGAACTATGAAAAATTAGTATCTGTGCTACCCATTTATGATACTTGTATTACAGCAGCCCTAGGTATCTACGACAGAATTTAGTAGCATGGAATAGGAGTGGTGCTTAATAAATATCCAAAATTTGAGAGTTTTTGAATTGGTTATGAAGAGAAGCTGGAAGAATTTTAATGTGCTTGATTGTTGTTGTTGTTTTTATGTGCCGTCGAGTCAGCCCCAACTCATAGTGACCCCTCCTTGGGTTGCCGAGGCAGTATCACTACTGAAGTAGATTGCCTGCCCCGTTTTCCTTCTGAGGAGTGGTTGGTGGGTTTGAACCACCAGCCTTCTGGTTAGCAGTCAAGTGCCTCAGGAACTATGCTACCAGAGCTCCTAATGTGCTTGATAGTAAGGTCCTATATTACCTTGAACAGACAATTGGTAGAATTATGGACATTAAAGGAAATTCTGAGAAGTCATAAATGATTGGAAGTTATAGAGAAAGTTTCTATTGTCATAAAATGTTGTTAGAAATATAGACATTAAATGTGCTTCTTGTGAGGCTTTAAAAGAAAATGATGAACATGTTATTGGGCAGTGGTGTAAAGACAGTCCTTGTTATGAAGTGGCAAAAACACATGTCTGACCTAAGTAAAAAAGTTCTATGGAAAGTTCAACTCATAAATGATGAAGTTGGATATGTGGCCGAGATTTCTAAGCAAGATCTTATAGAGGTGGCATGGTTTCTCTGTGCTACAGAGAATGTGGGAGAAAAGAGATAGATTGAGACATAAACTGTGCAAGAATAAAATAGAATTTGAAGTTTGGAAAGTAAAGTATTACAATAAAATGTTCAAAGACCTGGAGTTAGAAAAGTAAAAGGGAAGAGCACGCTCAGCATTTCTCAAGATGAAAGAGCTGAAGAAAAAGTTCAAACTTTGAATTGCAATATTGAAGCTTTCTATGGGAAAAGTATTGAATGATTCAGGAAGCATCAAAAGAAGATGGGAGGAATACACACAGTCACTGTTCCAAAAAGAATTAATCAATGTCCAACTATTTTAAGAGGTAGCATATGATCAAGAACCAGTGGTACTGAAAGAAGAAATTGAGGCTACAGTGAAGGAATTGATGAAAAACAAGGTTTTAGGAATTGATGGAATACCCACTGAGATAATTCAACAAACAGATGCAGTGCTGGAGGTGCTTACTCGTTTATGACAAGAAATTGGAAAGACAGCTACCAGGCCAACTGACTGGAAGAGACAGATATCTGTGCCCATTCTAACACACCTAACAACTGATGGCACCTAACAACAACTGCTAGTCCATGGTTATTTTCAGTGTTCTCCACCAACACCACAACTCAAAAGCATCAACTCTTCTTTGGTCTTCCTTATTCATTGCACAGCTTTCACATGTATGTGAAGTTATTGAAAATACCATGGCTTGGGTCAGGCACAACTTAGTCTTCAAAGAGACATCTTTGCTATTCAGCACTTGAAAGAGGTCTTTTGCAGCAGATTTGCCCAGTGCAATACAACATCTGATTTCTTGACTATTGCTTCCATGGAGTTGATTGTGGAACCAAGTAATATGAAGTCTTTGACAACTTCAATCTTTTTTCCATTTGTCATGATGCTGCTTATTGGTCCAGTTGTGAGGATTTTTGTTTTCTTTATATTGAGATGTAACCCATATTGTGGACTGTAGTTTTTAATCTTCATCTGTAAGTACTTCAAGTCATTTTCAGTTCCAGCAAGCAAAGTTGTGTCATCTCTATATCACAGGTTGTTAATGAGCCTTTCTCCAATTCTGATGCCTCATTCTTCTTCATATAGTCCATCTTCTTGGATTATTTGCTCAGCATACAGATTGAATAAGTATGGTGAAAGGATACAACCCTGATGCACACTCTTCCTTATCTGAAAGCTTGCAGTATCCCCTTGTTGTGTTTCAATGGCAGCCTCCTGGTCTATGCACAGGTCCCTCATGAGTACAATTAAGTGTTCTGGAATTCCCATTATTCTCAATGTTATCCATAATTGTTATGATACACACACTCAAAAGCCTTTGCATTGTCAATAAAACACAAGTAAACATCTTTCTGGCATTCTTTGCTTAGAACCAAGATCCATCTGACATTAGTTATGATATCCCTCATTCCATATCCCCTTCTGAATCAGCTTGCATTTCTGGAAGTTCCCTGTTAATATACTGCTGCAACTGTTTCTGAATTATCTTCAGCAAAATTTTACTTGAATGTGATATTAATGATATTGTTTGATAATTTCCACACTCTGTGGGATCACCTTTCTTTGGAATGTGTACAAATATGGATCTCTTCTAGTCAGTTGGCCAGGTAGCTGTCTTCCAAATTTGTTGGCATAGATGAGTAAGTGCCTCCAGAGCAGCATCTGTTTGTTGAAATATGTCAGTAGATATACCATCAATTCCTGGAGCCTTGTTTTTCACCAATTTGTTTAGTGCAACTTCAACTTCTTTCAATACCATTGGTTCTTAATCATATGCTACCTTCTGAAATAATTATTTTTTGTACAATGACTCTGTGTGTTCCTTCGGTCTTCTTTTGATGTTTCCTGCATCATTCAATATTTTGCCTATAGAGTCTTTTGATATTGCAACTCAAAGCTTGATTTTTTTTTCTTCACTTTTTTCAGCTTGAGAAATAGAGTGTGTGTGTGTGTGTGTGTTGGATAGCCAGAAGAACAAACAAATCTGTCCTGGAAGAAGTGCAGCTGAAATGCTCCTTGTAAGAGAGAATGGCCCAACTTCATCTCACCTAC